CACAGTCCAGCCAAACACTAATCTGCATTAATAGATTTTCTTATTCTGAACAGCTTATATAAATGGAATAACATAATATATGGTCTTTTATGACTGCTTTATCTAAATTAGCATAATGTTTTCAAGGTTCAACCATGTGTGTCATAGCATGTATCAGTATTTTACTTGGTAACAAAACCAAGTTATATCTCATGTGTAAGCATATGGCATTAGTTTATTCATTCATAAGCTTGGTAGACATTGGAGTTGTTTCCTTTTTTACTAGGAATAATGCTGCTGTAAATATTTGTGCAAGTGTTTGGGTGGACATATATTTTCGTTTCTTTTGGCTAGGTACCTAGGCATGGGCTTACAGGACTGTGCACTTGGAAATGCACTTTAACCATTTGTGGGACTTTTGCTTTCCATTGTAGCTGTGCAAACTTAGAATTGACAGTGTTGTATAAGCATCCACTTTCTCTGTATTCTTACCAGTAAACTTCTCTCTCCTTACTGCCATCTTATTGTGTAGGAAGTAGTATCTCACTGTGGTTTTTATTGCCCTGATGGATAATAATGTTGAACAATTTTTCAAATGCTTTTCATGTCTTCTTTGGAGAAATGACTAGTCAGATCTTCATCTGATTTTTTTAATTGGATCATTTGCCTCTTTACTGAGTTGTAATAGTTATATATATATATTCTAAATAGAAGTAATTTGATATATGCATAATTTACAGATTTCCTCCATTCTGTTGAATATCCAATCTTAATACTGTCCAGTTTACTTGCTTCTTTCTTTAATTGATTGCGTTTTGAGTATCCCATGTAGAAACCATTGAGTCCCTCATTGGAAGTGACCAAGACAGCTTGTATTTGGGTAGGATTTTTATAGCATTAATTCATGACTTTAATCAGTTTGAGTTAATTGTTGTATGTGGTATGAGTTACAAGCCCAACTTTATTCCTCTGCATATAATTATCCAGTTATCCTGGCACAGTTTGTTGGCAAGTAAGGAATCTTCGCTAAATCATCAGCCCCAAGTGATGTTAACACGGGTATAAAGAAAGTTTTCAGTGTATGGGAATGCCTGTTACTACCTGGCATCTTAGCAGATGCCTCCATTTCACAAGGAAGTTTTTGTTTTTGTTTTTTTAAAAAAGAAAAGTTTTGTTTTTCTTTTTTAAAAAAATTTTTGAGACAAGATCTCACTGTATACCCGAGGTTGGCCTCTAGCTCACAGCAGTGTTCCTGCTTCAGCCTCTCAGGTGCTGGGATTACTGGTGTCAGCACCATACCTCGTGGTTTGCTGGGCTTTTGGTGGGGGGTATTGGTGTGGTGAATGACTGGGCTTTAAAATTAACATACTTCCAGCAGGGCATGGTGGCACATTCCTTTAATCTCCATAGTCAAGGGCTAGAGAGATGATTCAGTGGTTAAGAGCACTGGCTGTTCTTGCAGAAGGCCTTTGTTCAAATCTCAACAGCCACGTGGTGGCTAACAACTGGCCATAACTCCAATTCCAGGGTATCTAACTCCTTCTGACCTCTGTGGCCACTCCACAACACAGATGTACTTAAACACATGTAAGCAATCCACTTGTACACATAAAGTGAAAATAATAAATAAGAAAGAAAGAAAGAAAGAAAGAAAGAAAGAAAGAAAGAAAGAGAAAGGTGGGAGGATCTCTGTGAGATCAAGGCCAACCTTTTCTACATAGCAAGTTCCAGGCTAGTTGGGGCTACAGAGAGACCCTGTCTCAAAAAAATTATATATTCCCCTGTTTATTGAGTTTATTGTTGTTTATGACAAGCATACTAAGCTTTGGGGATGCAAAGTGGAATTTCAGTAAATAATTGTTGAAGAAAGAAATAAAGTTTGGAAGAAGAGAGAGACTGTTTTCTGGGAAGGGGCAGAAAGCTAAAACAACAAAGTTGTATAACTGAGGCGTAATATGTGACGTGAGGTAAGAAAACAGAGACTTGAATCTGTAATAAATTCAACTACTTAAAAATGACTTGAGGTGAAAAGCATCTTTCTGGTAATGGAGCTGAAGTTTTATGTTATTTTGAAACATAAATCAAAACATGAATTACAGACTTTTCATTCTCAACTGCATTTGTGACCCCTGCTATTTGCTCTTGGAAGAATCTTTTTTTTTTTTTAACCTACCAAACTAAATATAGCTTCAGAGGAGAGAGGATGAAAAAAGCTCAAAGATTTTATTTCTCTCTAATGTGCATGTTGTGCTTATCTAATAAATGGCTGTTTGCAAGAAACAACAGTTTTTACATTTTAATCACTATTCCCTTACAAGGTTTCTTTTAAGATCTTCTTTTCCCACTTGAGGCAGAGGAATAGACAAATACTATTTCATGTTTATTTTGATTTTTAACACACAGAAAATTCTTGTTAATCTTGAGACTGCTTCACACTGAATAAATAGTACCATATGAATATCATTTTCAAAAAAGCTATACAGTTGTTTTTAGCTTACTACATAGCTTATGCATTTTTAAAGATTACCTTCTAAAAAATATTTCCTTCCAAAATTGCATCCACTTTTTATGACGTCACTGAGATATAAACAGTGAACACTTGAATCTGGAAAACTCTTTAGAATCTCACACTAGATAGTGGTTTTTAAGTGAACAAAATAAATGCTGTTTGAAGTTTACTTTCTATTTCTAATGAAACAAGAATCTTTATCACAGAACAAATATAAAAATAGCTGGTGCTGGTCTCTCAACTTAGCCTGTCCTGACAAATTTGCACTGCTATATATTAGTAAAGGAATCAACAGTCTCATTTTCTTTCAATATATTGTATTTCATGTTGCTATAAACAAGGAGAAAATTCAAGACTTTATTGCCCAAGTAAAGATGAGTGAATTTTATTCAGATCTCCCATTGGCCCTTTGTTTTGCTCCATGAGCAAGAGAGATCTGTATATTTTAGAGGAGTTAATATTTAAATCTGTATATTAAGTTTCAGTTATATCTGCTAGTTATAAGACTTCATTACTTAGAAACAGTGTGAGTCCTGTGAATCCTAAATGCATGATGCATATAATGTTTATTTTCTTGCAAATCCAGGATGAATATCAGAAATAGAAAGGACCTAAGAAACTATGTAATCCAATCTTTTCATTTCATAGACAATATAAATTATCTTGGAATAT